ACCTTCTCCAGAGAAGCGCGGACACAACGAGGATAACTTCCTGTGATCATCTTCACCTTCAGTAGACATAATGGTTTTCTCGGTTCCAGTACCAGTCTGGTACTACCAGATGTTGTAGAAGCTGGCGGCCACAGGGACGAACACCACAAGAGAAGGATGGTAGAAAGACTTCTTAATACCATAGAGACTATAGCGTGATGAACTAGCTATGCACGTAAAGAGAACGAACAGCGCAACTACCAATACTCTGAACATACGTGCTAAAAGAGACTAATATCATCTATAACACTCGGGTAGAACACAGCTTCTACTAGCGACTACTCCATCACTTAGGATACACGAATATGAGGTTTCACATCTGGGCCGGTATGCGGACCCTTATCTATATATAAAGCACATGATCTAGATCACGCGTCGATCTTGACGCCTGAGCCAAATCCATTGTATCCGAGATGCGTGAGCCAGATCTGTGATTCTTGATCCGTGATCTTTGATCCTGATCCTCGACTGTTGATCTCGATCCCTGAACCTCGATACTGATCCCTGGTCTGTGATCTGGATCTCGCGTGATCCTCATTTCCGATTCTGTTCTATGATCATTGAGGAAAAACTTGATCCGTGATCCAAAGATCACCGAGTTGAGAAATTGCGGTGTTCAGATCCTGAACTTGAGGGGAAAATAGGAGAATTTCACTACAATTTACAGCAATATTGCAATTATTGCACGATATTATATCATCTATGCTGCACTGAGATGACACACCTTGTTATTAGCAGTGTTATTCCTCCAGTAGTGGAATCCAAACTTCACGCCACTAATATCGAGTCAGTCTATAGGTGGGAAATCACTCCTATGCGGGTTGCCAACCTGTCATCAGCGATCTGTTGCATGACCACTCCAAAAGCAACATCCAAGTGACCGAAAACGACAAATACAATGTCCCGCGGTGACAGATAAAGATCAAGGACTGCAGTCAACATCGATGGGGAACCTACTTCCCCTCCGCAAATAACAGCGAGCGGACCTGATGCATGTGAATGAGGCCCTGCGGGATTTTTTGAGCTGACTATTCATTACAATATCAAGATGACTTGAAAGGAGAATTTTATACGAAGTTGGTGCACGTTGGACAAAGGGCGATTGCATACAAAGCGAATCAAGATGAACCGCTGACTGGGGAAGTGCAAGTGGGAGGAGAGTTTGATTGTCACTAACTTCCAACTACGAAAGTATCCTGTACAGTCACCTCCCCGCTAGTGACATTATATCCCCAGAATGTCCCACGGAGTTCACTCCTACTCACAACGTCGAGCTCAATGTAACCAATCACACTTAAAGCCTTCTCCACATGAGGCATGGTGCCAATTGGACATACAAGGTTCAAGAATCGTGCCGAGCCAGCTAGAATGTGGACCGTGCCGTCAATAGCAGAAGTACGAGTATAAGCGTGTACGTGGCCAGTAAAGTAGATGCTTACATTGTACTTCTTAAACAAAGGAGCCACATTGGATTTTAGCGCCTCGGCGATATCCCCGTTGAACTTGCCTAAGGCGCAGGACGTGTACATCGGCCTATGACCAGTAACGATGACCCATGGCGTCTTGTTCCGGTCAACATTAGCGAGATCATCTTCCAGCCAGTTGTGTTGATCGCTCTCATTGAGATAATTATGCTCGGTAGAAATCATAACATAATGTACCAAACCATAGTCAAACGAATACCAATACTTTGCCTCCTCTGAGCCGACCGGATAACGATGAGTGAAGGGAACGCCACACTCACCACCGGAGTCGGGGAACTCATAATTACCGAAAGGAGGGTACCATCCGTGGGGATTATCGAATGATACGTATTCATGATTGCCAACGCTCGTAACCAGCGGTTGTTTCATACCAATGTTGTGTTCAACTTCAGCACCAAACTGGTCCCATACGGTAGAGAAGCCATTGGCATATGCGAGATCACCATAAATGATGCTTAGTCGGATTCTGTCATTTTGTTGCATATGTGACAAAATCCGATCTGGATCCGGAGGTGGGAATTGTAGGAACCCGAAGCCGCTGAAGCCCCCGAGCTGGCCGGCCCCACTCGTGCCCAAGTCACCAACCATGAACACGCTGTGTCTTAGAGCGTCCCCAGCGAGAAGGCGGGGAGATGTGGTAAACTCTTTTGATACACCATTGCCGGTCTTGATCTGGAGGACGGAATCTCGCTCCACGTTTGGGATTGTTACCGAATGGAAGAATCCCGGGTCCCGAAACGCTTCACTTGTAGCAGGCGCGGAGCACATATCTTGCGCCTTATAAGTGCGAGCCAGACTGGTCTCATTAAATTGAGTCCACGTGGTGGTGCCGGGCTTCTTATAGAGTACTTCACCCCTTTCACTCGAGCCGCTGACCCAATTCACTTGAAGACTATCATCACCAGTGACAGTAAGATAAGCTTGCGTTGGTTCGTCATCACCTTGAGCGAAGGTTAAGTCTGTGATACACGCCACTTCACCATTAGCTGCTTGATAGCTGACCCTGTATCCACCACCGCGTGGGTTGACGGGTCGGATCACGTAACCGTCGGGGCCATCTGCTGCGGACGCAACCACCCGCAGCATGGAGTAGCTCGCGTTATCCTTTGGAGCGAAGACCACAGCATCTCCAGCTAGCGGGTTCACACCTTCCTTGAGACGTATATTCACAGGATCGTAACTGTGCTGCAGCACTTCCGGAGTGAGATCGAAATGTGATTCCTCACAAACAGAGAAGTCCGTTGGCTGCGGCGGGGTACTGCTGCTAGACGTGGTGGTGCTGGCGGGGGTGGTGGTAACCCCCGAGGAAGAAGAACAGCCCGAAATATGGTAGAGGGAGACTAGTATGATAGCGGCTTCAATTGCTTTCGTCACGCTGTAAGAAGCTAAACGAAACATTCTGAAGGGGAAAGTCCTGAAGAATATACAAGGTTAGGATGACAGTGACATAGTATCATCTACTGCCGAGTTATGAGGGCGGCCCCCACTGGGGAAATGCTAAAGGCCATTTTCCATTCCTCGCACTGATGCACACACAGAGTCTCAGCCGAGAGGGGGGCGGATGCTGCCCAACTTTAGCGTATAGCAGCTCTGTGTTTGCGTGCTTATTGTACACGCGTACGAGTCATAAGATGCGCCAGAACATGATGCAGAAACCGCATTCAGTACATCAGTAGCCTGCTGCTACTGATAGGTGCCACTTGAAGGTTGCCATCGAGTTTCTAACAACGACGCCAATGAGGTACAAAGCATCGTTAACGCCGCACATCTATATGTCTTCATTTGTTCACGCATTCACCATTGTGCGCCACGAAATCCGGCGCGCGCCACGAGGAGAGTCAACGACGAAGCACTCCGCTTTGACTCATGGAGAACTCTCGTTCGACGACTACGTTTCTACCTGGATTTTCTTTCCTTGATGTGCTATTCCCCTTAACTATAAACGGTATTTTGAACTTCTAAGTGTAGTAGAAAGCACTGGACAGTATAGACGAATTTCGCACTATAGGATGGTGCTCGTTCAACGAATCTCAGTAGTAAGTAGCGAGTTTTCTATCCCTGCCATCTACTGTTGGCGTATCGAGCAAACTTGAATTGTAACCATGTTTCTAGCCTCATCGGTCTTGGATTATAGCTCATCTTCAATCTGGATATTACAGGGTGTCGCTTATCACTACCTCTGAGCGTTGTCATTAACCAGTTTTGATCTTCATAGTGGAATGGAGATATGTGGTTTTGCAAGGTACATAAGTGATACTGTTTTTCTCTGGGCGAATTTCTATCGAGTTCAAGTTTCCTTCAAGCTCTCAATCACGACTACAGTACACTCCTCTTTCTGTCTTCACTGTGGTTTGCATGCACCGCTCTGGCTGGAAGTTTACATACTTGATAACACCATAGGATGCCTTGTTCATCTCATGCCCAAAATCCGACTCTCTACGTGTCGATTCCAGCGGTTGAATTCGACCGCGTTTCGCTACTCATTCTGACCCTGGAGAAGTTATACAGTCCGAGTGAGTTCGCCCTCCCCGAACGACCAAGCCGTTCCCTCAAATCCACCATCAAACGAGCTCTCAAAGGCCGGTGGAAGCTCTGTGTTGAACGACTCGCCCGATTTATGTAATTGACTATGATTACATGTAAAATTGACGATTGTCTGTTCCAAAGCTGTAGGACTACTTTTCAACACAACAACAGTGTTGGGTTTATACATTCTCATCTAAATATTCAATCGTGAGTATCATGGGATAACACACAATGGTGATCAGAGAGGTCCAGCCAACTGCACAAGGCACAGCGAATACCAAATGCATCTGCATCAGAAACTCAATGGAGCTTTACCCGTGATATGAAAGACACTAATGAAAAACATATTTAACATTGCACTTCGCGAAAACGCATGTGAGCAGTGAATAACGCGTAAAACACATGATGTGTTTTACGAGAAATGGGGTGATTTGTCCGGTGCAATTCAGCAAGTATTTTCTATTCACTTCATATCGCGAGTTTCACATGGAGTATTACGCCACTTCACGTGAAACGGGTCGTGAAACTCTAATGTTTCATAGTTCACACACGTGCCGCTCACCAGATTAACACCGCCTAGCATCGACGCATTGAAGATGACCATGGCAGTAGAAAGGGGCAACGTAGAGATGCTAGCTGCAACTACTCGAACGCCGATACGGAGTATATGATCATCATCAGAATTACCTAATTGGGACCCAATACAGCACAAAGTCATCAACGCTGACATAGGAGCAAACCGCAATCACGATACGACACGAACGGGAGTTTTCCACGTGGTGACTTCTCTCGTAAGCAAAGGTGCTCTCACCTCGTATCTTCGGCTGAAATAACAGCTGATTCGACAGCGCCGAAAATATGATGGTGACCAGGGTCAACTGAAAAAATAACATTTCCCCGTGGGCGAAAGATGTTGTGAAAAAATGTGAGCACCAAGTTAGCGAAATGAAAAGGATGCTCGGTTGTGTCGCAATGAACTGGGTCTAGTAAGCAAAGCTGGCATCGCTCTCCGCCACTGTCGTACCACCTGAGGCGATTCTTCATAGAAAACATGGGCGTAGTATCGAATTACCTGTAAAGATAAAGGAGAATTCCAACCTGTAAAGGAAGGTCGTGGAGGACACTCTTAAGTCCGACTAGCCAAGCGAAACTCGTTGAAGCTTCTCGGCTAGTAGAGCGACCACCGAACCATCGCCATACCAAAACACACGATACCAGGGTGATCCAGCAGGAAACTCCAATCTGAGAAGATGCTGAGTTCACTTTCCCGAGTGCTGTTTATCCAAACTGCGGGAAGCAGTGTCTCCTCGGCTGAGCTCAGGAGTTTCCTCACTAGTTATGAGAAATTCACACTTGACTTCTGGCAGCAGCGCAAAAACCATCACGAACTGTTTCAGAACTCGTTCAGTGTCATCATCTCAAAAAACTAACTATACGCATATTCTCCCGAATGAGCCATACGCTGTGACAACGCACCGCGAATCTCTCACAAGATATCTAGAGGCAGCTAAGTGGATGTGCTCTTCGCCAATCGCATGGTCGCTAAGTGCATGCCAGGCTTTGGGGACTGAACAGACCGGATGAGCGCGTACCTTGAAATCGTTTCCATCAGATCATCTGATTCAGATGTGACGCTGATAAGAACCGTACCATCTCTAGGTGAGGTATATCAGCATCTTCTACAAAGACTTTCAAGCGCTGTCCACTCATCTCTGTGGTGGCACCAACACTTCGACCGGTGTCGACAATCAGCCCGTCCCACGTGATGGGACCAGTCAACTCGACGGAGTCAGTGCCTATAAGGTAGTGTCTCATCTATCGGCCCTGGGAGTATCACGAGTAAGTCAATGCTATATCACTGGAATTCCACGATTGCGGAACCCGGCGCGTCTCTAGAGTCGACCACGCAACATCAAGTGAATCAATAGAGTCCAATTCCATTCAGATAATTCGACCAGTAGCACACAGTGGTACTAAGATAGCGGCACTCGTATGAGATCAATGAAGGCGCTCTTTCTTCAGAGAGAATGAAATACATTGTGTAGTAGACCATGCGAGTCCATCCCGAGAGAAAAGTTCATCAATACTCACTCTCATCGAGGACCATAATACTGTGTACACCATAGTTCCGAGGTCTATAGAATGTTTCAGGTGGACCCTGTCTTCCTCCACGCCTAACGATGCGGATCTGACCAGTCCAGAGACACAATTTGGGCTCTTATAAAGATTCGATAACTCTGCCTTTGAGGAGATCGGAAAACTCCCTACAAGAGATTTCACGATTTCTACATCATTTCTTCGATCGTAATTTGGCTGCGATCACACACATTGAGAATTCCTACTCGGGTTGACACCTAGTTGCTTCTGACTAGACTGCACAGGGGGCCCTACCGAGTATCTCTCGTGAAAGCGCGGCCCATCCGGACCCTCTGGAACAACCACGAGAAGGAACGTTGGTGGTACACTGGTCGTTTGAAATGTGAAAGTGAAATCTCGAAGCTCTTCGTGATTCATCGGAAACTCGTCGTAAAATCTGATACAGGCTCCAGTGGGAATCAACTCAGCTGAAAACCTCCCATTACGCGAGCTTCCAAGCGTCTGATACGCAAGCGCCGTAGCTGAGGTGCTCTGCTTGTCCACAATGATCGTGTATAAGCCTGTCGTAGTATTGCAGATTCGCGTCGATTTCAAAGTACAGCTTCATCGCGCAGAAGAAACTCACGAGGTGTATCTTATCGAATCGGGCTCGCATAGTATTCAAAAAATGGGCGATTCCTTACGGCCATCCACATAAGCGCGGCTTGTGCTTTGAATTCTCGTCTCGTGAAGATGTCAGTGGTGAACTCTGGGCAACAGAGAGCAGCTGAAGCCTCTCCACGAGCGACCGACGGTTTGGAGGAACGCAAGTCTCTCGCGGGAGTACTCCAACCGAGTAGTTCTACTGGTGGCTCGGACATTTCTTTCGAGTGACAGGTAAACCCTTATTGTTATCATAATGTAGCCCGGGGTTGCCTCCTAGTCGAGAAGTGCAATACCAAATCAGACCTTCTCAAAATCAGCCGCTGCGTATCATTCTGCCGTTATCGACCATCTATAGCGTTTCAAGACCAGAAGGAGAAACGTTCGGGCCGAAATAGAAAATGGTTTCTATTTCTAACCCGGACTTTCCGAAGACTTCCCTTTCGAGGTTTTCTGCAAATCTCCGGAGAAATTTGACACATCTGTGACACAGTTCTCAATACGTTCGTTGCGCGGGAACAAGATTTGGATTTTCCAGACAAGTGGTGGAAATTGAAAATTGTTTCGAGGCATGACCAAGTTGCCACCCGGAGAGCGACGCTTGTACCTAACATGAGCACT